AGTTATCACTGTGTCAAGTGGTACTATGTAAGTTATCACTGTGTCAAGTGATACTATGCAAGTTATCACTGTGTCAAGGGGTACTATGTAAGTTATCACTGTGTCAAGTGGTACTATGTAAGTTATCACTGTGTCAAGTGATACTATGTAAGTTATCACTGTGTCAAGTGGTACTGTGTAAGTTATCACTGTGTCAAGTGATACTATGCAAGTTATCACTGTGTCAAGGGGTACTATGTAAGTTATCACTGTGTCAAGTGGTACTATGTAAGTTATCACTGTGTCAAGTGGTACTATGTAAGTTATCACTGTGTCAAGTGGTACTATGTAAGTTATCACTATGTCAGGTGGTACCATGTGAGTTATCACTGTGTCAAGTGGTACCATGTAAGTTATCACTGTGTCAAGTGGTACCATGTAAGTTATCACTGTGTCAAGTGGTACCATGTAAGTTATCACTGTGTCAAGTGGTACTATGTAAGTTATCACTGTAACAAGGTGCCATATGAGTTATCACTGTGTCAAGTGGTACTATGTAAGTTATCACTGTGTTAAGTGGTACTATGTAAGTTATCACTGTGTTAAGTGATACTATGTAAGTTATCACTGTGTCAAGTGGTACTATGTAAGTTATCACTGTGTTAAGTGATACTATGTAAGTTATCACTGTGTTAAGTGATACTATGTAAGTTATCACTGTGTCAAGTGATACTATGTAAGTTATCACTGTGTCAAGTGGTACTATGTAAGTTATCACTGTGTCAAGTGATACTATATAAGTTATCAATGTGTCAAGTGGTACTATGTAAGTAATCACTGTGTCAAGTGGTACTATGTAAGTTATCACTGTGTCAAGGTGGTACCATGAAAGTTATCACTCTGTCAAGTGGTACCATGTAAGTTATCACTGTGTCAAGGTGGTGCTATGTAAGTTATCACTGTGTCAAGTGATACCAAGTAAGTTATCACTGTGTCAAGATGGTACCATGTAAGTTATCACTGTGTCAAGTGGTACCATGTAAGTTATCACTATGTCAAGTGGTACCATGTAAGCTATCACTGTGTCAAGATGGTACCATGTAAGTTATCACTGTGTCAAGATGGTACCATGTAAGTTTTCACTGTGTCAAGTGGTACCATGCAAGTTATCACTGTGTCAAGTGATACCATGTAAATTATCACTGTGTCAAGTGGTGCCATATGAGGTATCACTGTGTCAAGTGGTGCCATGTGAGCTATCACTGTTTCAAGTGGTGCCAAGTAAGTTATCACTGTGTCAAGTGGCACCATGTAAATTATCACTGTGTCACGTGGTACCATGTGAGTTATCACTGTGTTAAGTGGTACCATGTAAGTTATCACTGTGTCAAGTGGTACCATGTTAGTTATCACTGTGTCAAGTGGTACCATGTTAGTTATCACTGTGTCAGGTGGTACCATGTAAGTTATCAATGTGTCAGATGGTACCATGTAAGTTATCACTGTATCAGATGGTACCACGTGAGTTACCACTGTATCAAAGTGCCATACGAGTTATCACTGTGTCAAGTGGTACCATGTTAGTTCCCACTGTATCATGCGGTGTCACGCAGTGTCAAGGTGGTGCCATATAAGTTATCACAGTGTCAAGGTGGTGCCGTATAAGTTATCACAGTGTCAAGGTGGTGCCACATAAGTTATCAGAGTGTCAAGGTGGTGCCGTATAAGTTATCAGAGTGTCAAGGTGGTGCCGTATAAGTTATCACAGTGTCAAGGTGGTGCCGTATAAGTTATCACAGTGTCAAGGTGGTGCCACATAAGTTATCAGAGTGTCAAGGTGGTGCCATATAAGTTATCACAGTGTCAAGGTGGTGCCGTATAAGTTATCACAGTGTCAAGGTGGTGCCACATAAGTTATCAGAGTGTCAAGGTGGTGCCGTATAAGTTATCAGAGTGTCAAGGTGGTGCCGTATAAGTTATCACAGTGTCAAGGAAGAAGGTAAACACTGTATACATTCTTCAGTATTGACACTAAGGCAGACAATATATATTACAATTGTCAAAATATTTTAAGGCAGAACAGCCCATCTGGACCTTTTATATGAGAATTTTGATAATATATAAGTAATGTGACCAACTTAACTTATGTGTAATATCGTTATAAGTGTGAGTAATATTTTTCTCGTAATAGTGACAATAATAAATGATTTTAATATCTTTGGATTTTTTTTCCCAGGTTTATTGTTAAAGATCAGTTAAAAGGCATTGATTGTATCAGCTTTAAATAATATCAGAAGGTTGAACAGCATGGAGACAGTCATACAGCATGGAGACAGTCATACAGCATGGAGACAGTCATACAGCATGGAGACAGTCATACAGCATGGAGACAGTCATACAGCATGGAGACAGTCATACAGCATGGAGACAGTCATACAGCATGGAGACAGTCATACAGCATGGAGACAGTCATACAGCATGGAGACAGTCATACAGCATGGAGACAGTCATACAGCATGGAGACAATCATACAGCATGGAGACAGTCATACAGCATGGAGACAATCATACAGCATGGAGACAGTCATACAGCATGGAGACAGTCATACAGTATCTCTTCCAGGAGGATGTTCTTGGAACTGAAGCTGACATTCCCTTTCTCGGGTCAAACAGGATTGCATCCCATCCCCCATGTTCACTTTAATAATACTGATTATGTATCAGAGTTAACTCTCTGTATGTAAGTAGCATTGTTAATGTTATTGATGTATAAGGGAAGTGGTAATCAGGTATGATCCGAGGAACCGGACTGTAGGGCTAATTCCTGGCACTGGAAGTGTTTCACCAGTATTATGGTACACTCCTTGAAAGTACTTCCCTTCAAGGTATTACAGTTCAAGGTACTTCCCTTCAAGGTACTCACTTCAAGGTACTCCCTTCAAGATTCTTTTCTTCAAGGTATTCACTTCAAGGTACTCCCTTCAAGATTCTTTTCTTCAAGGTACTCCCCTTCAAGGTACTTCCCTTTAGGGTACTCCCCATTAAGACTCTTCTTCAAGGTGCTTCCCTTTAAGTCACTTCCTTTCAAGGTTCTTCCCTTCAAAGTACTCCCTTTCAAGGTACACCCCTTCCAGATACTCTCTTTCTCACTTTCTAGGTACTCCCCTTCAAGGTACACCACTTCAAGGTACACCCCTTCCATGTACTTCCTTTCAGGGTACACCCCTTCAAGGTACTCCCTGTCAAGATACTCTCTTACAAAGTACTCCCTTTGAAGGTACACCCCTTCAACGTACACCCCTTCAACGTACACCACTTCAAGGTACACCCCTTCAAGGTACTCCCCTTCAAGGTACTTTCAAGATACTCTCTTAAAAGTACTTCCTTTCAAGGTACTCCCCTTCAAGGTACACCCCTTCCAGGTACTCCTCTTCAAGATGCACCCTTTCAAGGTATACCCCTTCAAGGTATTCCCTTCAAGGTAATCACTTCAAGGTATACCTCTTCAAAGTACTCCCTTCAATGTAATCACTTCAAGGTTCACCACTTGAAGGTGCTTCATTTCAAGGTACACCGGTTTAAGGTATTCCCTCTCAAATGACTCCCTTTCAAGACTCTCCCCTTCAAAGTACTTCCCTTCAAGGTACACCCCTTCCAGGTACTCCCTTTCAAGGTACTCACTTTTGAGGTACTTTTAAGATACTCCTCTTAAAGGTACACCCCTTCAGGGTAGACCGTTTCAAAGTGTACCCCTTCAAGGTATGCCCCCTCAAGGAACACCCCTTCCAGGTACTCTCTTTCAAGATACTCACTTTTGAGGTACTCCCCTTCAAGATACTCCACTTCAAGGTGCACCCCTTCAAGGTACACCCCTTCAAAGTATACCCCTTCAAGATACACCCCTTGAAGGTACTTCCCTTAAAGGTACTCCCCTTTAAAGTACACCCCTTTCAAAACACTCCCCATCAAGGTTTTCCCCTTTCAAGGGAATCGTCTTGAAGATTCCTTCTTCTCCTTGAACAGATCAGGTTTACGGGTAAAGAGTTGTTCGTTGTTTACCTCGGCTTATGTCAAAGCCGAGGTATACTGCCCGTCCCCCAGGATGCCACCCACACCTGTTGACGTACATCCAGGTACCTACTTACTGATAAGTGAATGTGAGGAAACATATCCAGTGTTTCCACCAGTGCAGGGGACTGAACCGCAGACACATGGTGATGTGAGTGTGTTGCCAACCGAGCCACGGGGCTCCCAAACAAGACACTCTCCTTGATGACACTCTCCTTGATGACACTCTCCTTGATGACACTCTCCTTGATGACACTCTCCTTGATGACACTCTCCTTGATGACACTCTCCTTGATGACACTCTCCTTGAAGATACTCTCCTTGATGACAATCTCCTTGATGACACTCCCCTTGAAGATGTCTCCTTGACACTCTCCTTGAAGACATTCTCCTTGAAGACATTCTCCTTGATGACACTCTCCTTGATGACACTCCCCTTGAAGATGTCTCCTTGACACTCTCCTTGAAGACACTCTCCTTGATGACACTCTCCTTGAAGACACTCTCTTTGATGACACTTTCCTTGAAGACACTCTCCTTGAAGACACTCTCCTTGAAGACACTCTCCTTGAAGACACTCCCCGCTGTCTCCAAGATACAAGAAAGAGTCTTACCGCAGACCGACGAGGTAGACATCATGGTCGGTCTTGTACACGATGTCCTTAAAAAGTAACCAATACAAAACCAGTCCTAAAACCAACGTAGATTTTGTTTTTCCGAGCCAATTTATTTACATATGTTACTTAAGTTGCTGATGCTTATTTAACCTCAGTTAACAAAACTTAACCAGGCATAACACCAATAATTGCAATAAGGCACAAATGAAGGACTGATTTCACCGTTAATAAGAACTCGTTTTAGCATTCAGTGGCTTTACCGACTGTCTCAAGTCAGAAAAAAACAACGAGAGTAATTTACGTTTTTGAACGAGTGGATGGATGCCAAATTAGTTCATTTTGATAATGCTTTTATTACAGTAATATACAACAGAAAAGTGTCTAAATTATTGTAGAGTAATTATAAAATGTGTTTCTGTGTCTTCAAGTAGGGAAGCAGCGAAGGAAGAGTGGCTGGTGTTGAGGACTCTGGAGGGAGGACGTCTGGAGTCCAGCTTGTGGCTCTGGAGGGAGGACGTCTGGAATCCAGTTTGTGACTCTGGAGGGAAGATGTCTGGAGTCCAGCTTATGGCTCTGGAGGGAGGACGTCTGGAGTCCAGTTTGTGACTCTGGAGGGAAGATGTCTGGAGTCCAGCTTATGGCTCTGGAGGGAGGACGTCTGGAGTCCAGTTTGTGACTCTGGAGGGAAGATGTCTGGAGTCCAGCTTATGGCTCTGGAGGGAGGACGTCTGGAGTCCAGTTTGTGACTCTGGAGGGAAGATGTCTGGAGTCCAGCTTATGGTTCTGGAGGGAGGACGTCTGGAATCTAGCTTGTGACGCTGGAGGGAAGATGTCTGGAGTCCAGTTTGTGGCTCTGGTGGGAGGGCATCTGGAGTCCAGCTTGTGGCTCTGGAGGGAGGACGTCTGGAGTCCAGCTTGTGGCTCTGGAGGGAGGACGTCTGGATTCCAGCTTGTGGCTCTGGAGGGAAGATGTCTGGAGTCCAGCTTGTGGCTCTGGAGGGAGGACGTCTGGAGTCCAGCTTGTGGCTCTGGAGGGAGGACGTCTGGAGTCCAGCTTGTGGCTCTGGAGGGAGGACGTCTGGAGTCCAGCTTGTGGCTCTGGAGGGAGGACGTCTGGAGTCCAGCTTGTGGCTCTGGAGGGAGGACGTCTGGAGTCCAGCTTGTGGCTCTGGAGGGAGGACGTCTGGAGTCCAGCTTGTGACTCTGGAGGGAGGACGTCTGGAGTCCAGCTTGTGGCTCTGGTGGGAGGACGTCTGGAGTCCAGCTTGTGGCTCTGGAGGGAGGACGTCTGGAGTCCAGCTTGTGGCTCTCAGACTAACAACAACAACTCTGTGAGAAAGGATCAATGGGAATCAATGTTTTCCCTTATCTAGTTCGATAAGTATAGTAATTTAAACACCATCGTTCACCACTAAATCATATAACGTGGGGAGGAGGAGTAGGTGGGGAGGAGGAGTAGGTGGGGAGGAGGAGTAGGTGGGGAGGAGGAGTAGGTGGGGAGGAGGGGAGACGATAACCTAAATAATAACCGGGGAGTTTAGAATTCGTGACGAATAGGCACTGGCAGAAGTGATATAAATTGTTTAATGGTGTTCCTTGTACTTAAAAGATAAAAGTATTGCATATTTACATTCAAGCCTTATATCATTAGTTCTGTCAACTGGTGTTGTCAGGATGTGTAGGCGGGGATAAGTTAAATCCATTATACACATTACACAGTTGTGTTAGATGGACGGATGATTCAGGAAGTTTAATTAATAAATTTAGAAATAACAATGAGAATAACAATGAGAATGTCGTAATAACCACTTTTATCTTCACTTTTGATCGAAAATTGTCTCGGTGGGACCTTGATTGTTAACGATGGATCGATGTCCAGGTGGAAGCCTCAGTGGATTCTTTCTTTAGTTTATTATTGGTATTTAGTACCGACAAGATGATGAATCAGACACATGTGTACCTACGGTGCTCATCACGGCATGATGACTCAGATACAGGTGTACCTACGGTGCTCATCACTGCATGATGACTCAGATACAGGTGTACCTACGGTGCTCATCACGGCTTGATGACTCAGATAGAGGTGTACCTACGGTGCTCATCACGGCATGATGACTCAGACACAGGTGTACCTACGGTGCTCATCACTGCATGATGACTCAGACACAGGTGTACCTACGGTGCTCATCACGGCATGATGACTCAGATACAGGTGTACCTACGGTGCTCATCACGGCTTGATGACTCAGATACAGGTGTACCTACGGTGCTCATCACGGCATGATGACTCAGATACAGGTGTACCTACGGTGCTCATCACGGCATGATGACTCAGACACAGGTGTACCTACGGTGCTCATCACGGCATGATGACTCAGACACAGGTGTTCCTACGGTGCTCATCACGGCATGACTCAGACACAAGTGTACCTACGGTGCTCATCACTGCATGATGACTCAGACACAGGTGCACCTACGGTGCTCATCACTGCATGATGACTCAGACACAGGTGCACCTACGGTGCTCATCACGGCATGATGACTCAGACACAGGTGTACCTACGGTGCTCATCACGGCATGATGACTCAGACACAGGTGTTCCTACGGTGCTCATCACGGCATGACTCAGACACAAGTGTACCTACGGTGCTCATCACTGCATGATGACTCAGACACAGGTGCACCTACGGTGCTCATCACTGCATGATGACTCAGACACAGGTGCACCTACGGTGCTCATCACGGCATGATGACTCAGACACAGGTGCACCTACGGTGCTCATCACTGCATGATGACTCAGACACAGGTGCACCTACGGTGCTCATCACGGCATGATGACTCAGACACAGGTGTACCTACGGTGCTCATCACGGCATGATGACTCAGACACAGGTGTACCTACGGTGCTCATCACGGCATGATGACTCAGACACAGGTGCACCTACGGTGCTCATCACGGCATGATGACTCAGACACAGGTGTACCTACGGTGCTCATCACTGCATGATGACTCAGACACAGGTGCACCTACGGTGCTCATCACGGCATGATGACTCAGACACAGGTATACCTACGGTGCTCATCACGGCATGATGACTCAGACACAGGTGTACCTACGGTGCTCATCACGGCATGATGACTCAGACACAGGTGCACCTACGGTGCTCATCACGGCATGATGACTCAGACACAGGTGCACCTACGGTGCTCATCACGGCATGACTCAGACACAGGTGCACCTACGGTGCTCACCACGGCATGATGACTCAGACACAGGTGCACCTACGGTGCTCATCACGGCATGAAGACTCAGATACAGGTGGACTTACGGTGCTCATCACGGCTTGATGACTCAGACACAGGTGTACCTACGGTGCTCATCACGGCATGATGACTCAGACACAGGTGCACCTACGGTGCTCATCACTGCATGATGACTCAGACACAGATGTACCTACGGTGCTCATCACGGCTTGATGACTCAGACACAGGTGCACCTACGGTGCTCATCACGGCATGATGACTCAGACACAGGTGCACCTACGGTGCTCATCACGGCATGATGACTCAGACACAGGTGCACCTACGGTGCTCATCACGGCATGATGACTCAGACACAGGTGCACCTACGGTGCTCATCACGGCATGATGACTCAGACACAGGTGCACCTACGGTGCTCATCACAACAAGGACCAAGCAGGTTGTTTCTTCCAGTTAGGTTCATCACAATGTTTCAAACACAATCCTGGATAGTATCAAGAAAGTCACTGGAGTCAAGATTTCCTGTCAGATTGTTCCAGTCAATTGACAAAAGTTAATATCTCCTGGGCTGAGGGACTGATTGCCTCATCTTCTGCTGACTGCTCTATATATTACCAATTTCTTCAATTTATGTCCATCTAACGTACTGATGAAGCCCCTGCAGGGCGAAACGTCTACGAGAAACCCAAATGTTGCACAAGTGTCTAATTCTTTATTTTCTTGAAATATAACGACGGAGGGTTGTGGAGGTGACTGTATCTCTGATACACATTAAACTTAATACAAAAATATAAATTGTATTTAGATTAATGTTAATAAGCCACTCCCTCACGTGAGGGGGGTCTTTATAGCGGCCGAAGAACTCTTGATCCAAGGAATTACACCCTACTTCTCCTTTCTTTTCTGTATGGGTGATTGTGGCCCATGAAGGTTTAGCGCTGCCCTCACGAGAGTAATAACTAATAAACTATTTATATCAATTTCATTCTTTTAGTTTAAAATGTGTACGACATTGTATGACCCATGAGGAATTAGCACTTTCCTAAGAATATAATAATTTAATAATAATAATAACAATAATAATAATAATAATAATAATAATAATAATAATAATAATAATAATAATAATAATAATAATAATAATAATAATAATAATAATAATAATAATAATAATAAAATCAACATTAATAACGATAATAATAATAATAATTAATAATGATAATAATCGATATTTCTTAGAGCCAAAGAGATGGAACTGGGAATGTGGTGTTGCTAGGAGTGGACAGGTAGTTGACAGGAATCTGACAGGGAGTAGACAGGGAGAGAGCAGAGGGTGAGAGAGGAGCAGTGAGGTGAGTGTGGAGAGCAGGTGAGGGATGCCTGGAGGTACCTGGAGGTACCTGGAGGTGCCTAGACGTCCCCGGAGCTGCCCGAAGTTGCCTCTGAAGCCAGTTTAGCCAGGCATCAGCTTGGAAGGTTATGTAGATATGTGAAAGTCATATGTGAGGTGTTCAGCTTTCACAGACTGAAACTTAATGCGTGGGTATGAGGTATTACGTGTTGACGAAGAGCAGAGTGCCCTTCCCAAGCAGAGTGCCTCAAAATCCTTGTTCTCCCCCTCAAAGCAGTGCCCTCCTACTCCTCCCCCTCCAGTTCTCCTTCGGTTTCAGATCTGGTGAGTACCTAGTAAGTAGTTCACAGTTTATACTGAAGGATGGGTTGCTCTGTCACAATATAATCTCTCTCTTGTACACATTATCACTAAATGTTTATCTCTACAACACTTGTAATGCTTATGTATTAATACAAGCGAAATAAGTTCAAGGATAATATGGAAGACATGTAGGATTGTTGTTTGTGTTTCCACCGCGGAGTAGTTGGTTGGACTTGGTTGCCATTCCTCAACGTTACTTAACATATTGTTGCTCAGAGATCGGCATACTCAGGGCCGTGGCAGACCTCGAAGTGATCAAGGAAATTGATATGTTTATCTGGCGGGAAGAGCATCTGGCAGGATGGACAGACAAGGTGTTTACGGGTGAGGGTGGCCACTCCGTCGCTGCTGCTGCTCTGGGCTCCGGAAGATCCCGTCCCACTCCCTGTTCCCTCACATTTAGTCCCCAGCTCATAACTTATAATGGCTGAGGCAATATTCTTTGAGGCCATTGACTTGAGGTCGTCACTGGATCTGTGGTGGAGTGTGGGTGGAGGTGAGGAAGCGGCGGAGTTAGTGGCGGACGACAATGTGGACGACGGGGGAGAGTTCACGGCGGGGGTGTAGTTGAAAGTTGCCGTTGACGACGACGTGTTGGGCGACACAGGGCCGTTTGTATAGTCGTCGTGAGAGGCCCGCCGTGCCTGGTTCAGCTGCTGACCAGACACGGCCCGAGCGGTCCGCCAAGGTAGACCTGAACCCTGGCGACTGTTTGCTTGACCTCCCATGAGCCTCACCCAGGTGGAATTAACTACTTTGCCTTGACCTTGTGGCCTACCAGGACTCTCCACCGACCACCAGTGTTCCTCCTTAACAGTGGTTGGTCCGAGGCAGCTATTGACAATTATTGGAGGACTTTTGACTCCCGAGGGTGGCAGTGTGTCTCTCTGTGTTTTTGGAGCAGTCACAGATTCGGGAGTGGGACTCTTCACACCCAGAGAAGAGTTGGAGGGTCGTGGGGATGTGCATGGCTGTGGGCTGCGGACACCCCTTTGGTCGGAGCCCAAAGCAAAGAATATGGTTCCAGGGATGCCTCGACCTTCTGAGTTTAGGCCGAAAGTGGTGAGGGAAATTCCAGGTGACGAGGAGCGGGACGACGTGGCTGAAGAATAAGTTGAAGCCGCAGGCGGGATATTGGTTCCTGTGGCTGTAGTGGTGACGGTGATAGATGCAAAGGCTGTCGTGTTGCTGGAAGTACTAGAAGACTGGGAACTCGTGGTGTTAATGTAGGAGGTCTCGGAAGGTAAGTCAGTTCTAGGGAAGTTCTGAGAGATTGATGATATATTAGCACTATTTGCATTACTGGTTGTGTTTTGAGACACCACAGTGATGTCTGCGGAAGGACTTGATACAGTATCAGTGGAGACTGTGGGAGATGACGTGGTGCTGGTAGTGGATTTTAGAGACACTTTGCTAGACTGAGATGATGACTGAAAAGTTGTCGTGTTACCACAGGAAGGTTGACAATGAACGCTACTAACGGAATTATAACCAGCCATTCCAGAAGAAAAAGTCTCAGCATTGACACTAGAAGCAATTAGACTGGGTAATGATGAGGTGGTAGTAGTGGTAGTGAGGGATGCTAGGCTGGAGCAAGACACTGTCGTGGTGACGGCAGTCACGTTGGAAGAAGATGTGATAAAGGTGTTACCGGAAGTATTTGTACAAGGGAGGGTTGTAGTTGGACTAGAACAAGAAATACTGGAGACTGCTAGCGTTCCCTCCGACGACTGTCCTCTTTTTATGGCAGTGGAAGAACTGATATCTCCTTTTCTACTTCCTGCTGTTGATGGTGTATTGATATCTGGCTCGTTTTTCTCGCTATTGCCATTTTTCACATTGTTTTCTTGATTTGTGGTAGTGGGGGACTTAACCCTGTCGTCCTGGCTAGTTATTACCATGTTATTGATCTGTTTATTATCTTTTGTACCAACTGTGTTAATAGTGTCACTAGCTAGGATATGTTTTGTTGTGGGTGTGGTGTGACAGCCACTGGTAGGACTGGTAGTGGTGAGCGCGCCACCGATGGAGGCTGCCGAAGATCCATTTCGTCCGTGAGTAGAGGAGGTGGAAGAGCTGCTGGATGAAGATGAGATTTGGAGGGCAATTTGGGCTGCTTGAGCCACCTGTTTCATGGTTGAGGGCCGCTTGTGTGCCACAAAGGGTGATCGAAAGTTGATTGGGGTGAGAACAGTGGAGGTAATGGGCATGTAACCTTTTGGCATATTAGGCACGGACGGACTTTTCATGATGCTGGAGCCACACGGCATGGAAGGACCACTGGACACAGGTGACACTGGTATTGCACTTGCCAAGATGGAACGTGCTCGGTGTTTAGCTGTCTTCTCGTCTTCCAGCAAGCCTAGACCTTTACCTGCTACGCTCTGTAGGTTGCCTAGAATTTTGGGTCGGGCCCCCATGGCTTCATATTTTTTCTTGTCGTCTGTCGTCCCTATAACCAGGTTCTTGGTCTCTGGCGCACAGGTTCTCGGACTGAGTACTTTACTTTCGCTGCCACTGCCACGAGGAATAGCATATTCCAATCCCAACTGGAGGTCCACCTCACCTCTCTTGACACTGCTGTTGGTGTTGAGAGTTGTGGGTCGGGGTGTTAGTACACTACTTCCTGTTTGTCCCTGCCCCTTTCCCTGCTGATGATGCTGCTGGTGACGGTGATGTTGAATCGGAGCTCTGGACGGCTGCTGGGAGCGCTTGTGGTCTTGGACTACTGGCGTCTGGTGCTCCGGGGTAGCACCACTAAAGGCAATCTGGTGCAACATAGAGACTGGAATCCAACCCTTCAGTGGGGCCTGTAAAACACAACAAACTCTTAGTTCCTCCTACCATACCTACTCTGTT